AAAAAACGGATGTAAAATGAATGAAAAAAATAATATAAACTGATGAAAAAAAACTGATCTAAAATGAATGAAAAAAATAATGTTAACGGATGAAAAAAAAAAAAACGGATGTAAAATGAATGAAAAAACAAATGTAAACTGATGAAAAAACAGATGTAAAATGAATGAAAAAACTAATATAAACTGATGAAAAAACGGATGTAAAATGAATGAAAATACTAATGTAAACTGATGAAAAACGGATGTAAAATGGATGATAAAACTAATGTAAACTGATGAAAAAACGGATGTAAACTAATGAAAAAAACGGATGTAAACTGCAGCCACCACATCTAATGATTGGTAGGTAGAAATATATTACATTTTGGTTTTAGGTTTAATACCACATTATTGTTAGGGTTTACATACTCCTTAGGCAGTGATGCACACTTCTTCTCACGTTCTTGATAGAATGCCATGGTATTTAAAAATCTGTGGTTATATGAAATCCTGTCAAATTATACTTTCTTTATATATATGTATTTGTGAACACACACTCTAAACCAGGGGTCTCCAAACTTTTTAACCTCCCTGGCGGTATTCCCGAGTGTAGCTCGGGGTAAGGTTTCAGTACCACAAGCGGTAACCCCGAGCTACACTCGGGAATACCATGCGGCGCTGCTCCACGATCCCTGTATCACTTACCTTGTCCTGCGCTCCCACGATGTCCCTCCTGCAGTGTCCCCGACAATGTAATCCGGCGGATGACAGCATCTGTCATCTGGGTTCCGTCCCCTGTGAGCGTCGGGACGTACGGGGGACGGAACGGCGGGAAATTCAAAAATGACAAAAAGTGACATTCACTAAAATCACTAAAATCACATAGTATTCCATTACTGTATCAAACCATTTCACATACATTTTGTTCCTAGTGCTTTGTCCTGTGTCCTGCCTGCATTTTTACTGTTCTTATTTATTGCCTGGAAACTGAGAAATGTCCATGGTGTCCAAAAAGCGTCACTTTAGGTCAAAAGCGGTTTTAGACCAGCTAGAGAACAGCGATAGTAAATCAGAACCACTTGCAGAATGGAGTGATAATGATTTGTGGGGAAATTCGTCATCAAACAGTGAAAACGATTCTGCGACTTCTTCTTCCTCTTCATCCTCATCCTCATCCTCTTCTTCTTCTTCTGAGGATGAGGATGAAGAAGAAGAAGAAGAAGAAGTAGGATGAAAATAAGAATAATTCCAAGCCGGCAAAAAGTGTATCTGCAGAGCTCCTCTATTCTGCAGATACACTTAGAGGAGCTCTGCAGATACACTTTTTGCCGGCTTGGAATTAATCTTATTTTCATCCTACTTCTTCTTCTTCTTCATCCTCATCCTCATCCTCAGAAGAAGAAGAAGAGGATGAATCGAATTTCTTCCTGAAATTCGGCGAATCAGCCGAATCGAATTTTTGAATAATTCGCTCATCTCTAATTATTATATTATTATTTTTATGATTATTTATTAAATTATAATTTATGATTTAGTGTTTCAAATTTTATCATACCCGGGATGTTTACTAGACTCTTGTTCGGACAGATTTCAGTGAGTTATTCCTAAAAATTACAGCCCTACAATAAAAAAAAAAAACATATTTCCATGCAAAAAAATGGTACCGCTTTTTGTTCAGCACCAAAAATCTGAAATAATCATACCGCCAGGGAGGTTAAACAAAGTGCCAGTTTACTGTCCTTCAGACTTTAGGGGGACCGGGCTGTGATGGGGGGGGCTGGACTGTGACACATCCTGGTGTCAGTGGGAGTAAACAATGCCCAATGTTTTATATTAGAGGGTGAAATAGTGCCACATCAGTGGAGGGAATAGTGCGTCATCATTGGTGTCAGTGGAAGGAATAGTGCGTCATCATTGGTGTCAGTGGAAGGAATAGTGCCTCATCATTGGTGTCAGTGGAAGGAATAGTGCGTCATCATTGGTGTCAGTGGAAGGAATAGTGCCCCATCATTGGTGCCAGTTGAAGGAATAGCGCCCCATCGTTGGTGTCAATAGAAGGAATAGTGCCTCATCATTGGTGTCAGTGGAAGGAATAGTGCCCCATCATTGGTGTCAGTGGAAGGAATAGTGCCCCATCATTAGTGTCAGTTGAAGGAATAGTGCCCCATTGTTGATGTCAATGGAAGGAATGGTGCCTCATCATTGGTGTCAGTGGAAAGAATAGTGCCCCATCATTGATGTCAGTTGAAGAAATAGTGCCTCATCATTGGTGTCAGTTGAAGGAATAGTACCCCATTGTTTGTGTCAATGGAAGAAATAGTGCCTCATCATTGGTGTCAGTGGAAGTAATAGTGCCCCATCATTGGTGTCAGTGGAGGAATAGTGCCCCATCATTGGTGTCAGTGGAAAGAATAGTGCCCCATCATTGATGTCAGTTGAGGAAATAGTGCCTCATCATTGGTGTCAGTTAGAGGAATAGTACCCCATTGTTTGTGTCAATGGAAGAAATAGTGCCTCATCATTGGTGGCAGTGGAAGGAATAGTGCCCCATCATTGGTGTCGGTGGAGGAATAGTGCCCCATCATTGGTGTCATTGGGATTGATAGTGCCCCATCATTGGTGTCAGTGGGAGAAATAGTGCCCCATCAATGGTGTCAGTGGGGGGAATAGTGCCCCATCATTGGTGTCAGTGGGAGGAATAGTGCCTCATTATCAGCGTCAGTGGCAGGAACTATGCCCCAAGGCCAGATAAAAGCAAGCAAAGGGCCACAGTTTGGAGACCCCTGCTCTAGATTCCTTGCAGTGCAAACAACACACACAAAAGGGATGCGTTTCCCCTTTCTCCACACTTTCTCCCAGCTCAGGCTCTATACAGACATTTAAATTAGAGACGGCTCAAAGAAAAGAGTTGCTCATGTGCTTTCTATTTGGCAAAACCTCGGTGCATGGGTGCATGCTATATTAAATGTTGAAATGTAAAATAAAGATTTTACAGAAATAATAAATATATTGGCCTTAAAGTGGAGTTCCACTCACCCTGTCAAAAAATAAAAGTCAGCAGCTACAAAAACTGTAGCTGCTGACTTTTAAAAAACAGCCACTTACCTGACCCTCGGTCCCATGGTGTGTCCCCCGCAGCCCATTTCACTGGCCGTCCTGTGTTCCAGGAGGCCGGCATCTTCAGTGTGGGCACCCGGTTGTGATAACTTGCAGCTTCACAGCCGGGTACCCACTGTGCATGCGCGAGTAGTGCTGCGCTTCATGAATGGTCCTGTAGTCTTCTGGGACCTGTCACGTGTCCCAAAAGACTACATGGAGGGAGAACACCTTCCGCTTCCGATTGCCTAGGCGATCCGACCGGATGTGGGAGCGGGCACCTGACAAATTCGGGCAACTTATATGTGACTTTGGATGTGGTTATGGAACCAAATCAGCCTACAATCACAACAAAGTAGCACAGGAACTCGTAGTTCCTGTGATAGTATTTATCACTTGCTATATTCCCTTAGTGGGAAGCCACGTGATGCACAATTTGTGTGTTATCCCTGTTTTGTGTGTTTTTAAGGGGATTGAGTGCGTCACATTATTTAGTATTTGTTTAGTATTTATTTAGCGCTACACTTTTTTGTATATATGAGTCACTTCACCTATTAGGTATAAGGTTAGTGTCAGCAGCTTTAGGGTTAGGGCCCCATTTTAAGCGCAGGAGGATATCTCTTCAAAGTAGCACAGGAACCTTTTCCAAAATCACACGACACAGAGTTGCATTGATGTGAAAATAATGGGATTTCCCTTGTCATGTGATTCTCTGTGATTCTGTGCGACTCAAGTGGCATCAGAAATTGTGCTAGCGTGAACCAAAAATAAACAACGAAGTGTATGTAAAAATAAAAGTGAACTAACACTAAACAAAAAAAATTATGTAAAAATAAAATAACAATGCAATAAAATAAATAAAATGTTAAATAAAAAAAAAAAATAAAGAAAAAAATAGTTAGATCAGGGTTTGATCTAGGTCAGTGCCAGGGTCAGTGTCAAAAGTCATGGCAGGGTCAACGGTCAGTGTCAAATGTTAGAGTCAGTGTATTTTAGATAGGATAAAAAAATAAAATGAGTATCACAATGTCAGACGCCCACTAGAGGAAGGAGCCTGACCATGGCTTGGAGCCAGAGCTCAATATGAGGACTCCCAAGCACCTCCAGTGTCCTGCCGAGAAGGGGAGAGATGTGAGGGAAGCCCTGGAGAGACTAACTGGGGAGAAGGGGGCTTGGCGGGCTACATAGACCAAGGACCTCTGGGAGTGGCGGCCATCACGGCAGGTCTTCCTGTGCTCTCAGCCCGGCGCTGTGTGTTCCCCGGAGCTCAGTGGACGTCGGGCGATCAGGTTATCTGCCGCAAGGGAGCTCTGGGAAGCAGAGGAGCCGGCCTGCGTTTCTTGGAGTAAGGGAGACTCCGGCTCTCTTCCTCCTGCACACAAGACCGTAGCAGCTGGAGACACACGGAAAAGGGCTGGGTGAACCCCCCCTGCAATCCACTCATTGTGTCAGGGGAATGTCGAGTGCAATGTTCCCCAGAAGAGAGTACCTGGAGCCACCTTACCCCTCATTTGAAGTAAAGGAAGAATTGTCCTAAAGTTTGGGAAAGTCTCTCAGAGAAGCTCAATCCAATACAAACCAGAGATCTCACATGGGGGGGAAGTATTCCTGATTCGAGTGTGGAAAATGTCTTTCATATAAGTCCTATTTCTATATATACCAGTGATAATACAAGAGGGAGCAGCCATACCCTTGTTCAGAGTGCGGGAAATGTTTTTCACAGAAGTCCAGTCTGCATATATATCAGAGACCTCACATGAAGAAGATTCTATATCCCTGTTCTAAGTGCGGGAAATGCTTTCTCAGACAAAACTAGACTTTACATATATCAGAGATCTAACACAAATGAAAAGCCATATGTCTTTCCTGAGTGCGGGAAATACTTTTTAGTGAAGCTTAGTATCCACACACATCAGAGATCTTACACGGGGGAGAAGTTGCATACCTGTCCGGAGTGCAGGAAATGTTTTTCATGTAAGTCCTATTTTTACATATGCCAGTGATAACACAAGAGGGAGCAGCTATACCCTTGTTCAGAGTGCGGGAAATGTTTTTCACAGAAGTCCAGCCTGCATATATATCAGAGACCTCACATGACGAAGATGCTATATCCCTGTTCTAAGTGCGGGAAATGTTTTTTCAGATAAGTCTAGACTTTATATATATATATCAGAGATCTTACACAGGTGAAAAGCCATATGTCTGTCCTGAGTGTGGGAAATACTTTTCAGTGAAGCCCAGTCTTCACACACATCAGCGATCTTACAAGGAGGAGAAGTTGTATACCTGTTCGGAGTGCGGGAAATGTTTTCAGAGGAGCCCTTTTCTTCATATATGACAGAGATCTCATACGGGGGAAAAAGCCATATTGGGGACAAGAGGGTGAGTGAGAGCGGCAAAAGTACTGAGATTAATATATTGCATGGGAACTGAACTGTATGTATTGAACTATATGTTTAAAGTGAGGAAAATCAGAAGGAGGACAATGTAAAACAGATAAAGACCTAAAAGAAGAGGACCCGGGTAGATGAGTTCGGGAGTGGGGGGAGAGAAAAAGGAAGAAAAGAACTAAGAGGGAGATACTCATGGAAGACAACAAATTTTGATATCAAATCAAAAATAGCCCCCCCCCCAAAAAAAAAAACAGAACTGCGGAAAATTGAAATAGTACCTGACAGCATGAAAAACAAAGTATCAAAGGGAGGAGAGACTAAGGCTTCCCAAACAGGGTCAATGAAAAAATATATTCCCTCACAGGAGAAACAGACTCCAGAGAGACAACAGGGAATAAGTGTAAGAGTTGAGAGGGAAAACAGTGGGGAATGTTCCAGACTATCCCTGGGAATAGCTAACAGTAGTCAACATATGGAAGAAGAAGTGGATATGGATAAAGTAGAAGAACAAGAGGAGAGCTCACAGATGCCTACTAAAGCAGAAATAGCAGAAATGTTTAAAAGACTCGAAAGATCCCTAAAACAGGAACTGGCGAAATTACATAAAGACCTGGTGCAAATATTATCAAGGGTGGAGGAGACAGAAGAAAAACTAGATAAGCATGCCTAAATTATACAGAAATTAGAAAAACAGGCAATGGAAATGAGAAAAGAACAAAGAAATCTGTTATATAAATTGGAAGACCAGGAGAATAGGGATAGGAGATGCAATCTAAGGATACAAGGCTTTCCAGAGATCTCCCAAGGAGAAGATTTGATGGGAATAATAACGAGAATACTATAATGGATAGAATTATAACAGAGCCTCTCAAAATGGAGGGAGTATATAGAATAGGAAAATATATACAAGAAGATAAGAAGGAAAAGCCAAGAGATGTAATAGTGCAATTCCAGAATTTTCGGGATAAAGAAGAGCTATGGAAGAAGATAAAAGGAAGAGCAATAATAAAATATGGAGAAATAAATATACAGATCTTTGCTGATTTAGCAGCGGAAACATTATTAAGAAGGAGAACTTTGAAACATTATTGGAACAGATGAGAAAACAGAATGTTCGATATAGCTGGGGGTTTCCAGCGTGTTTGATCGGATGGAGAAATGGATGTTCAGCAAGACTGAGATTCCCCGAAGATCTGAGAGACTTCTGTGAGAGACTTGATATACAGAAAATAAATATCTCTGGTTGGGAGGAAGAAGGAGAAATGTGGGCTAAGGAAAATGAGGGTAGCAGGAAGCTCTAAGGAGAAATAGAGAGTAGGAATAGATGAATAAGATGGGAGGGGGGGGGGATTTCCTCCATTTCTCTCTCTCTCTTATTTCTGCCTTTTTATGAAAGTTTACTAGAGTATGGCAGGACACGGAGGAGGAGACACGCTTACTGGGGAAAAGTTCATGGTCTGAGTTTCACCTAAAAGCGGAATCAAAGGTGGGGTTAGGACCACAAATGATTAATAGGCAAAATGTAAGCCTAAAGTGAGAGGAGGGATGGGAGGGTGGGTGGGTGGGTGGGAAGGGTATGGGGGGGGGAAGGGTATGGGGGAGTTGGCAACCTGAGATTATGCAGGAAAATAGGAGTCATATTCTGGAGAAAAGAAGGTATAGGGAAGAGAGAGGAGAGTAAGGGGACAGGAGAAGAAGGATGAGAGGAGTGAGAAAAAGAGAAGAATGGAAGAGATTTACTTTGTGACTTATAATGTCAAAGTTTAAATAGCCCAGGGAAGAGATTTAAGATATGTAAAGAACTTCAGCATAGACTCTCTTCAGTGGTATTCCTACAAGAGACACACCTTGTACAAGAAACAAATGTGAAGCTACAATCCAGATATTATCCAGAGTGGTATTATGCAGATTCCCCAATTAAACGTGCAAAAGTAGTGGCAATAGGATTTGCAAAAAACATAAGGTTTAAGTTGGAAGAGAGATTGGTAGATCCGGAAGGGAGATTCCTTTTCTTGAAAGGAAAACTACAGGAAATAGAATGTACATTAGCAAACATTTATTGCCCGAATAAGAATCCTGAGTTATTCTTAAAAAATATTCTGAGGAAATTAATGGATTTCAAAAAAGGGGATTTGATTGTGGCTGGAGATTTTAATTTGTATATGGATCCCCAAATGGATGTGGCCTCTCCTGTGATGAGAGATAGTAGTAGATGTCTGAAAAACTTGAAAAAATGTTATTTCAATGTCAACTCGTAAATATTTGGAGAATTAAACATATGAAGGAAAGAGACTACACTTTTTACTCTCATGTACATGAGATGTATTCAAGATTGGATTACATACTGTTGGACCATAGGCTTATTGAGTCTCTGGTCAAAGTAAATATAGAAGTTATGTCAATTTCTGACCATACCCCTGTTACAATGCAATTGCTATGGGGGAAAGAACAGAGAGGAGGAAAATTATGGAGGTTGAATGAGTCACTTCTCCAGGAGCAAGAGACGGAGTGGAAAGTTAAGAAGAAAATAGAGCAATTCTTCGAAGAAAATGACTCTGAGGAAGTGTCGGTAGCTACGGTGTGGGAGGCACATAAGGTCTATATTAGAGGTATTTTAATAGCGATAGGAGCAAAAAAGAAGAGGGAAAGAAGAAAAAAAGTAAATACACTCTTAATGGAACTCTGTGAATTAGAGCAGACACATAAAAAAAGAGTAACAAAAGAGGTCATGCAGAAGATAATAAATAAAAGAGAAGAATTAAATAACATTTTGGAAGAAGAAAAGAGGAGAGTGTTTAATAAAATGATAAGTGAGAGATATAGATGGGGGATAGACCAGGAAAGTATTTAATGAGGGCTCAGAGGAAAAAAAAAATCTAGGAATTATATTGAGAAAATAAGAGATAATAAAGGAGAATTGGTTCATTCAACCAAAGATATAGTAAAAGTGTTTAAAGAATATTACAATAAGTTATATAATATATATTAAGAATCATGGTACCATAGGAGAAGATGAAGTCAGAGATAAAGAGAGAAGACTGGCATTTTTAAAAAAGGCAGGATTTACTGATATTAAATGAAGAACAATTAGAATCCCTAGAAACGGCTATAACGCAGGAAGAAATACATCTTGCATTAAAAAGTACAGTAGCCGGGAAAAGTCCAGGACCCGATGGGTAGATCCGATGGGTATACAGTGAGATAGTATAAAAAATATGAAGAGATTCTATTACCTAAGTTGAGAATATATATGAATGCTCTGGGAGGAGAGATGGAGATGAGGAGGGAATCCCTTTAAGCTCATGTGGTTCTCATACAAAAGGAAGGTAAAGATAATACTCACTGCTCAAGCTATAGACCAATTTCCTTATTAAATATAGATACTAAACTATATGCAAAAGTACTGGCAAGCAGATTGAAGGACTTAATGCCGAGTTTGATTCATATAGATCAAGTGGGGTTTTGTCCCAGGGAGAGAGGGCAGAGACAACGGTTTAAGATCTTTGTTTCTTATACAAAAAAAAGTAGGAAAAGAAAGAACTCTGGCATTAGCACTTGCGATTGACGCTGAAAAAGCATTTGATAGAGTAAATTGGGGATATATGTTAGACACCTTAGAAGTAATAGGCATGGGATCTAGAATGAGAGAATGGATTAGGAAATTATATAGCCAACCCTCGGCAGCAATAATGGTAAATGGGGAATTATCCGAGTACATTGGGATGCAGAATGGAACAAGACAGGGATGCCCTTTGTCCCCATTATTATATGTTCTGTCTTTGGAATCTCTTTTGGCTACCATCAGGAATAATGTAGATATAAAAGGAATTTGGGTAGGAGAAATGGAGCATAAGGTGGCAGCTGATGCAGATGACATGTTGTTCTATGTAGGAAATCCAAGGATAACATTACCAAACTTAATGAAATCTTTAAAATAATATGGAGAGATGTCAAACTTAAAAATTAACCCAACTAAAACAGAGATCTTAAATATAAACCTTACAAATAGAGAGAAAAAAATGTTACAGGAGGAATTCCCTTTTATACGGAGAGAAAGAGATCTAAATATAAAACTTACTGTATCTTTAAGAATTTATATAGATTAAATTATATCCCACTATTAAACGAGATTAAGGATAAAATAAAGAAATTAGAAAGAGGATTTCAGACATGGATTGGTCGGATAAACTTGATAAAAATGGTAATCGTTCCCAAAATTCTATATAAATTTCAAATTATACCAATTAAGCTCCCAGAGGCATATTTTAGAATAATTAAAAAAATTATAACATCATTTATATGGAGAAATAAGAAGCCCAGAATAAGCTATGAAATCTTAAGTAGAGATAAAGGAAAAGGCGGACTGGGGGTACCAGATATGAAGAGATACTATAATTCAGTAATATTGGCAAGAATTTTTGATTGGACACATAATGCACAGGGGAAAAGTTGGGTAAACATAGAAAATACATTAAGTCACACGAATTTAAGTAGAATCATTTGGTTACCTCCTCAATTTAGAGGATTAAAAGATAGCACAAGTTTGTTTTACACGTAATGTTTGAGAGTTTGGGACACCTTACACAAACAAAGGGGGTGGGAATTTAATTCATTGTTAATGCGCCTAGGATTTACAGAGTTTTTTCCTCCAGGTAAAGAGAGTATTACAGGGAATTGGATAAAGAAGAAAGATGTTCAATTAAAAAATATAATGGTGGGAGAAGAATTGTGTCCACTTAGTGAACTGGAAAGTAAGAGGGATATATTTTTACGAGAATGGATGAATGGCGGTATGGTCAACTAAAACATTTTGTAGGTAGTCTCCCAATGCTATTAAGAAACAAAGAAGATTGGAACCCCTTTGAGCACTTATTAGATATAAAAGGAGATGGGAAGCACGGGGTCACTAAAATATATAAAATTCTCACAGGTTTAATCACGGCTA